GGACCTCTCCTGAAGGACCGCCTCTGCATTTGTGTGATATGGGGAGAGAAAAACAGGTTTTTCTTCATCTCTGTGGAAATCTTCATGCATGGGTACTATACCAATGCTTGACTGGATTGAGCCTTTCGCTATTTTATTGTTGTTGAAAGCTTGCAACTAGAGTTGCTATGATGATGATGATTCACCCTCCAACATATCCCCAGGTGAAAATGGAGACATTTCTCACTTCCCCCTAACTGAGCCTCCTTGATCCTCCATTTTTGTGCCCCCCAAGAAGAAGGGTGACTGTCATCAGCACTACACCAGTGAGACACACACTTCACCATCCTGAGAAAACCCCCTTAATCCTGATTTTATTTTATTCTTCAATAGCTTTACAAAAAGAAAAAACACACACACCAATAAATAAATTTTAGAAAGTCTGCAAGATTTGATGTGGACACACAAAGTGGTTTTTTTTGAAAGAAAGAAAGAAAGAAGAAAGACTCAGCTGCTCTGCTCTCCCTTTCCTTCTGCCCAGGATGGCCCTGCCCTCTGCCTGCCCCTCAGAGCTGGCACGTCAGCTGTCTCAGACTCTTCTCCTCCTCACCTGCTCTCCAGCAGCCACTATGAGCTGCCTAAGGGAGGAGACCATCAGTGGAAGACATGGAGAGGCCACAGAGAGGCAATGGGATGTTCCCTTGGAGCCAGCACTGCTGCCACCGCCATCATTTGGGACAAGCACCATTTCCGAGCACAATTCAAAGTGTTGGTGCTGACCTTTAAAGCCCTAAATGGCCTCGGCCCAGTATACCCGGAGGAGCATCTCCACCCCCATCATTTAACCCGGACACTGAGGTCCAGCGCCGAGGGCCTTCTGGTGGTTCCCTCACTGAGAGAAGCGAAGTTACAGGGAACCAGGCAGAGGGCCTTCTCGGTAGTGGCGCCCGCCCTGTGGAACGCCCTCCCATCAGATGTCAAAGAGATAAACATCTACCTGACATTTAGAAGACATCTGAAGGCAGCCCTGTTTAGGGAAGTTTTTAATGACTGGTGTTTTAATGGATTTTTAATCTCTGTTGGAAGCCACCTAGAGTGGCTGGGGAAACCCAGCCAGATGGGCGGGGTACAAATAATAAATTATTATTATTATTATTATTATTATTATCCTTCTCCCTGAGCTTGGCACTGGCAGGGAAAATCAGGACATTGAGGGATCAAATCAGAAGGTGGGATGGATTTCGTAATTCTGGGACTGTCCCTGGAAAATTGGGACACTTAGGGGGGCATGTTATTGCCTCAGACAACCTTTGAGCAATTATGGAAATTCCACCTGAGGTGAACCATTTTGAGAAATTTTGCAGGGACTCAAGTGAGTTTTGATAAGCCTAGTTTTGGGGCTGCTGACTGACCACAACGTTCTGTGACAGAGATTTCTAGTTCTAGCCCAAAATAGTTGGTTAATGTATCTCAATAGGATCTACTAGTTAATTAGGCAGAGTGAGGCAGTTGCCTCAGCTGTCAGATGCTGGTGTAAGTGTGGAGAAGAGTCAACGTCTATTACCGGCCAAATAATCCACTACTCAAGGAAAATATATGCCCTTCAAATTGTGGTGTGACTTGACCTTATATATCACAGGCCTTATAAATTTCATTATTTGAATGATAAATGCAAACTCTGGTGAAGGTGTCGTCCAGTCACATGGTCTTTTGCATGACCCACTGGCTGTCCATGTTGTCAGAACAAGCACTATATGCGGTGGGACCACACCTTAAAGTGAAAACACGGGTTTTATTTGAAGGACCTCTTATGGTTATTGGGAGACCACATTGATGATAAGCTATGAAGTGAAAGTCTCATTCCCCATGGCACACATGCTCACATACACCCATTGCAAACTCATGTGGGTTGCAGGAAGATTATCAGAGAATCCTGACAGAAACGGAAATGGGAGCGGAAATGGTCAATACTCACTTATGTTCACAATGTCTGGAACATACAGTGGTGCAAGACGAAAAACATCGCAAGATGAAAAGACTCGCGGAACGAATTATTTTCGTCTTGCGAGGCACCACTGTAAATAAATCCTGCAAATACTCTTGGCATTCACTGTTGTTGCTGCAAATGGTATGCCATTGATTACATCATTGAATTCACCCAGACATCATCATCATCATCATCATTATCCTTCTTGCCTCATCTTAACATGGATTCTAGCCGAATGTCTTGGATTATAAACCAAAGGAACTTTTTTTAAAAAAATTATTTAATCATTTTTTCAATACAAACAACAACCACAAAAGACACATACAACAAAAACTATAATAAAACTAATAACACAATTTGACAATTCAGATTTGAATACTGATATACCTATGACTACACCTTTTTAACAATATTTCCCCACCTCTCCTGCCCCTACTTCCCACCACTGTCCGCCTTATCACTTAAATATTCCTTCCAAGTAAATCAAAGGAACTTATTCTTCAGCCTCGTTCGAAATAGACTTGCTGTCTTAAAAAAAAAAAAAGTAAACCTTGCTGGGATGATTGATGTGAATTTTAACCCATTTTAGTATTTTAACTTTGCGTTTGTTTTAACCTATTGTTGCGGGGGGGTTGGTTTTCTTGTGTTGTCTTTCTGTAAGCCACTTTGAGGTTTTGTTTTGTTTTGTATTTTTACAAACAAGCGATGTAGAAATTTTATGAAATAAATAAAGAATTTCGCCTGCTATATTTCTGTGTCAGGAGCAGTGCATTATTTTTTTTTAAGATAACACTGCTTTGGAATTTTGCACATAGCATCCCCAAGTGAGTTACTTCCACCTATTGCAGCAGCTCTGACCTCAGTTGAGCTCTTGTAACCACACTGAGACTGTGAAACCCCTCCCGTCCACACAAACCTTCTTACCTGACTGACAGAAAAGGGAAGGACAATCTTGTCTGTTTGCAGATTATTACTCACATTAAACCTCCACATTCTAATTACAGTTTACCTGCACTTCCATAGGAAATATCAAGCATTCAGTGGGCTTGTGTCGAGCCAAAGGAGGTGCAACAAAAATGGCCCAGCCACGTTCTAAAGCCTTTCCTAGTATTTTTGGGTTGATAAAACACAACTTAGACCATGAATCATTAACAAAAAATACCTTAAGCGTGAGTGTCCTTGTCTGGAACAATTCCACAATCAGACAGTTAATAATCTTTCAGCAGCAGGGCTCCCTTTTGGGCAACATATAATTTCATATTCTGAAATTATTAAGGTACAAACCCAAGTATTCCAAACCAACCAGCTCATCTGCCCCAATGTTTTGGAATGCCTAGCCCATGTCCTAAATCAACCCCTTCTCTCTCTCTCTCTCTCTCTCTCTCTCTCTTTCTCTCTGTTGGCATTTCCCTCTTGGTCTTCATCCCTTAAACCTTCATCTCTGCTTCTCTCTTCATCCCACTAATTTCAGGAGTCCAGTGTTCCAGCCCCCTCTCCCTTGTTTTGATAGTACTTGGAGGTAGGGAAATTCTGCCTGTAGTCCATAGAAAGCTCTTGGGACTTTTTTTTATTATAGGGCAGTCTATAAATGGTGTAGAGATAAACTTAAAAACAGGGTGGAATCCAATTGGTGGACTTTTTCAATGACGGGCTTTTGAGCCCGTGGGTGCCTGACCATTGGTTGTGCTGGCTGGGGCCAATGGGAGTTGGGGGTCTTGGAGAGTCAGAGCTTTCTCACTCCTGTTCTGTGCCTTGGCCCAGGCATGACTGATGAGCAGGATGATCTTCACATATGATAAATCTCACTATTCAGCTTGCAATAGGAAATTACATCCCCTCTGGTGACACCTCTGATGCGGAATTTGTGTTTGTGCAGGTAACTAAGACCTCTAATCAAATTATTACTGTGCAAATATCTTAATGTAACCGGAGTAACTTAACTTAATGTGTAACTTAATGTGACCGGAGTAGAAATCATATATTGAACAGATGGAAAGCTCTTGAATCTGAGCAGACTGAAAGCAAAGAGTAAGGTTACCGTAACTTCCATCATAGAGCTTCAGTATGCTGATGACAACGTAGTGTGCGCACGCTCAGAGGATGACTTCCAAACCATCCTAAATATCTTTGCAGAGGCTTACGAAAAGCTTGGCCTATCACTCAACATCCAAAAAACCAAAGTGCTGCACCAACAAGTACAAAATAACCCCTCTGCAGCACCACAAATCCAACTCTATGGTGTAACGTTGGAAAATGTTGATCACTTCTCCTACCTAGGCAGTTATTCCATAAAGGCCAACATTGATGCCGAAATCCAGCATCACCTGAGCTCTGCAAGTGCGGCTTTCTCCCGATTGAAGTGCAGAGTGTTTGAGGACTGGGACATTTGCAGGGAAACCAAAATGCTTGTTTACAAAGCTATTGTACTACCAACCTTACTATATGCTTGTGAAACATGGACCACTTATAAACGCCATCTCCAGCTCCTTGAAAGATTCCCTCAATGGTGTCTCTGAAAATTTTTACACATCACTTGCGAAGACAGGCAAACTAATATCAGTGTACTGGATGAAGCAAAGTTCACCAGTGTTGAAGCAATGATTCTTCAACATCCACTTTGTTGGACTGGTCATGTTGTGCGGATGCCTGATGATCGTCTTCCAAAGCAACTACTCTATTCCAAACTTCCAGGTCCACCAGATATGTATAAGTGTCCCTGCTGCTTTACCGCACCTCCAACGTAGGTTTGCTTTTGTTTTATACATTTTAGCTATTTTGGGAGGTGTTAAGTACCATCTATAAAACATCTTGATTAAATTTTCCCTTAGTATATGTTTTAAACAACAGCCAGAGGAGCTTCCCAGTCCAGATGAGGACCACAGCACGGGGAGGGGAACACAACCCTGGCCCTCTTGCTGTGGTCCTCATGAACACAATCCTGCCCCAAACTGGGGATAGGAAGCAGCTGCTTCCCACCCCCAGTGTAGCAGCTTTCCTCCCAGGGCAAATAATAGATGCACAGAAAAATAATTTTAAAATCCCGTTTTATTATTATGCTATTAGCTAGCTGCTTTTTCTTTCCCTGAAAGAAAAAAAAAACTTGCACGTGCAGTGTGGGAAATCCAACGGTCTTCGAAGCAAGGGGATCTCTTTCTTTTTAATGAAAGGAGAGGCCTTTTGTGTTAACCGAGTTTCCTCCTCAAGGCTTATTCTCAGCAGATGTTTGGTTCTTCTCATACAGTTGGGAAGGTCATCGTGGCGACGTGGAACACAGCTGCGGCATAAAGTCATTACTTTAGAGAGAATGAGGGCTCTTTGGTCCTGCCTTAGATGAGAAAGCCAGGTCTTTTTTCATATGAAAGCTGCTGTTTTTGTTTCTGTTTTGCTTTTTTTTGCTTTTGCTTTTTAAGCTGGCCTCTTCTCTTCCTCCTCCTCCTCCTCCCCTACAGAGATGACTTGGGCCAGCCAGGGGAGTAAGGGAGCCACTGTTTCGTTAATGAGAGACACGGCGCTTGTTGGCAAACATGCGCCTCGTCAGCTCCTTGCGCATGAGCTCGTTCACTTCGTACAGAAGGTCCTTGCAGCTGAAGGCGCAGATGTTTCTCCCCAGCTTGACACCCTTGTCTTGGTTGAGCACATGGCTGCTAGCGTTCCTGTCAGAGGGGGCTGCTTTCCCATTGCCCTTCATTGCCAAAGGTGCCTTTTTTTGCTGAAGCTGCCGGGCCATCTTAGAAGAAGCTCCTGGGCCCTTCCCTTTGTGCGCCAGCCTCGCTCCCGCTTTCTTCTGCTTCTGCTTCTCTTGCTTGAGCTGCAGCTTCTTCTGTTTAGGATGGATCTTCTTAGACGCCAACTTCTGCTTCTTCTGAGGCTGGGCCGCCTTCTTCTCGCCCTGGACAGCAGCCATTTGCCTCCAACTCTCCTGTTCTCACGCTCAGTTCTTAGGGAGAAAGACCTCTGTGCTGTCCTCACCTTGGGTGGCTTGTATTCAAGTGAAGGGCCGGCTATTTGATTGCCTGGGTGGGTGAGGGAAATATCCCCCCTCTTGTGATGTAGCAATGCTACCCCTGAAGACTCATAATATGCAGCACTTCATAATACACATCTGCCAGCTGCCCCTCCCTCCCATATGCAAATGGAGAGATTGTGACCTCGGAACTGCTCATTGGTCAGTGGGAAGGATGATAGAAACAAAGAGGCTGAAAGACTGATGCAGGGCACATTGCAATCACAGAATTGTAAAGTTGGAAGGGACCCTGAGGGTCATCTAGTCCAACCCCCTGCAATTCAGGAATCTCAGCTAAAGCATCCATGGCAGGTGGCCACCCAACCTCTGCTTGAAAACCTCCAAGGAAGGAGAGTCCACCACCTCTCATGGGAGTCTGTTCCACAGCCTAACAGCGCTGTCAGAAAGTTCTTCCTGATGTTTAGTTGGAATCTATTTTCTTGAAACTTGAAGCCATTGGTTCGAGTCTTACCCTCCAGAGCAGGAGAAAACAAGCTTGTTGCCTCTTCCATGGGACATCCCTTGAGATATTTGAAGATGGCTATCCTATCTCCTCTCAGCCTCCTCTTTTCTAGGCTAAACATACCAAGCTCTTTCAACAGTTCCTCATAAGACTTAGCTTCCACACCCTTGAGCCAGCGTGGTGTAGTGGTTAAGAGTGATGGACTCGTAATCTGGTGAACCAGGTTCACTTCCCCGCTCCTCCACATGCAGCTGCTGGGTGACCTTGGGCTAGTCACGCTTCTCTGAAGGCTCTCAGCCTCACTCACCTCACAGAGTGTTTGTTGTGGGGGAGGAAGGGAAAGGAGAATGTTAGCCGCTTTGAGACTCCTTCGGGTAGTGATAAAGCGGGATATCAAATCCAAACTCTTCTTCATCATCATCATCCTAGTTGCCCTCCTCTGCACATGTTCCAGCTTGTCAATATCCTTCTTAAATTGTGGTGCTCAGAATTGGCCACAGTATTCCAGAGATGGTATGACCAAGGCAGAATGAAATCTGAACTCCCTACAACTAGTTATTGTTCTGATGAAATGTAGGAAACAAACAAGCAAACAAATAGTAGTAGTAGTAATATTAATCTTTGTTCTCGGATTCTTCTCTTTGTGTGTCATAAGACGCAATCTTAACCCAAGATTCCCTGGGATGCATGAGTTAGGACAGGCATAGGCAAACTCTGAACCTCCAGATGTTTGGGACTACAATTCCCATCATCCCTAGCTAACAGGACCATTGGTCAGGGATGATGGGAATTGTAGTCCCTCTGCAGTAAGGGAGGCAAATGGGGAAAGCCTTCCCACTGACTTTTTGCTTGCAAATCCTGTCTTAAGGGCGCATTTGCGTATGAATAGGGTGAGCCTATGAACCGGATTCGGGAACTAAAAGTGTTTACCATCATGTGGTGGAACTGCAAAGTAATCAAAAGTTACTCCCTTACTGCAGAGGGATATTTGAGAGTCAAAATGGCTTCAGGAATTGTTGTCCCAAACATCTGGAGGGCCAGAGTTTGCCTATGCCTGAGTTAGGATGTGGCAGATGTGTGGCTCAGCCGTGCTACGCCAGCAGGAGTCCCCAACCCCAGCTCAGCTGGAGCTACACCCGCGTAACTGCTTCAGCCTGGGCTCAGGCTTATAGTTTAAACCAAATACACAGATTACAAGGATAGTTAAAGCTATATATAATACACATCAGCTGGAACAAAGCCTTATGAGCAATAGCATCGCACTGCCCCCGCCCCCGTGCTTTAAAGTTCTCCTCTCCAAGAGGCACACATACCTGTCTCAGCTTTGAAGCAATTTGAGAGTTGTTCAAGCCGAGGCAGGCAGGCAACACCTGCCTCAACAAATGCCATAATTATTAAAACTGCTAATTAAGACATTAGACTTGGTGGTTCCTCCTTCAGACTGAAACTCGTCATTGGTGTTTTACAAGGTGCCAATGGCTATTCAGAAACAAACTCATTAGCCGTGAATGAATAAGTGCTTGCAGTGGTTACCTAAGGGGACGTGGAGCTAGGATACTCTATTTTGGCCTTGCCAGACCTCAGGTTCACCTTTATCTCCCAGCCTTTAGCATGTGACCCACTTTTAACAAAAATTACGGTATATACAGATCTCTGTGTGTGTGTGTGTGTGTGTGTGTGTGTGTGTGTGTGTGTTCCTTCCTTCCTTCCTTCTCCATGTCTTTCTCCTATTTGTTCACCGTGGACTCAGCTATACACCTGCAAATAAAATGTTTTAAATGTGTTGTAAAGTGCAATATGCAAATGTGACACTAGATGGCGAAAATGAGCTATGCAAAATTCAGTGTATTTTTCAAAACGTTTTTTTTTAAAAAAAGATTTTTCACAGTGTTTTCAATATGTGTGTAGATTCCACCCCTGCCTCCTAAAACAAAAACTTTAAAAGAAAATACTACAGTGAAAAGTCTTGTGGCATCTTAAAGATGAACACATTTGCAGAGATCCATCTAATGGAGAGCACACTGGACCACGAAAGCTCATGTGAAGAAGAGCAAAATGTGGTCCTCTTCAGATGTTATTGGACTACAAGTGCCCTTGGGCCTGGTCACTTTTTTGTCAGTGGTAAGGAATGATGAGAGTTGTAGTCCGCAGATGCCCCTGGCTTGTGCCAAAATAAATTTGACTCCTTTTTGGGTCTGCTGCAGCAGATTATGGCAGCAATACAAAGTCCCCATCCCTACCACCACAACCTGGAGATGCAGTGCAGAATCTGGCCCACTGCCATGCATGGTTGTGGGGCAGAAGTTGGGTGTGGAGGCAGTAAGATCATTGTACCTGTTGTAGAGGTGACTGTTGCTTGAAGACAATCTCCTGGAGGACCTCTAGCCAGAGAATATTGGCTGCATGGCTGGAGCCTAGGAGGTTAGTTTGCTGCAGCCTGGGCAAGACATGTCAACACAAGCTAGGCAGCTGTTGCTTTATTCAATAAATAATTGGAGACAGACAGGTCATATATCCACAGCAGTGACAAGAGGAGGAATGATTGCTGGGAGGAGCTCAGAGAGAAGGAACGCCACGGTGCACCTCTAGCGAGAAATCAGGAATATCTGAAGAATTATGTTAAATAAGAATTATGTTAAATAAACATTAGCGGGGTGGGAGTAAATCCCAGCAGTTTCAAGTATTGAAGATATAGTGAGTAAGGAGAAAAATAAAATGTATGGAGTAATTAGAATATGCAGTTGTAATTATGGTGCTGGAGGAGACTCTTGAGAGTCCCATGGACTGCAAGAAGATCAAACCTATCCACTCTGAAGGAAATCAGCCCTAAGTGCTCACTGGAAGGACAGATCGTAAAGCTGAGGCTCCAATACTTTGGCCACCTCATGAGAAGAGAAGACTCTCTGGAAAAGACCCTGATGTTGGGAAAGATGGAGGGCACAAGGAGAAGGGGACGACAGAGGACGAGATGGTTGGACAGTGTTGTCTAAGCTACAAACATGAGTTTGACCAAACTGCGGGAGGCAGTGGAAGACAGGAGTCCCTGGCATGCTCTGGTCCATGGGGTCACGAAGAGTCGGACACGACTAAACGACTAAACAACAACAACAATGGAAAAATAAATGGAACCATGGAAGTGGGGGAAAGAGAAGTTGATAATTATGAATATATGGTTATGTTGACTGAAATGCGAAAAATTGTAATGGAAAAGTATAAATAAAAATATATTAGAAAAAGAAAACCGGACATCTTCCTCTGCCCCACAAAACATGTCCCACCCATATCAGTCTCTGTAGCCACAGTAGATGCTGTAATTCTCCGGTAATTTGACTTTAACCCCAAACGTGTACTCTTCCCTTGTCTACTGAGACAGATAGATGCCATCAACAAAGTAGTTGTTCAGCATATCGCCTCTGCAACTGTTTCTTGGCCAAGTAATTCTTGACCAAGTAAATGGGACAGTGCCAGCCCCGTGCAACAGCCAAGTCATGGAACAGCAGTAAGACCAGCTCAGGATCCAATAGATCCTGGGCTGGCTTTGCTTTTTCCACTCCAGAGAAATGTGTTTTGGAGTGCAGTCAGCACTCCTGAGTCTCTGGCAGACGGAATGGGATGTGCCCCTTATTTGCCCCACTCGGTCAAGGTTGCACAATTAAAGGACTCGGTTTTTAGTGCAACAAAGAATCAGAGTTTTTGCAGATCAGAAAGCAAAGGAGAAATGCATATGAACAAGGGGTGTATGAATGGCTAATGGCAAGATGTGTAAGCCTGCAACAAGCAAATCAGAATGATTAATCAATAACGACCGGGATATATTCTAACCTCTGCATCAGCGAATCAGGGCAATCGCTCCATAAGCTGGCCGCCTGGAAGATCCCTCTGTTTCTCCCCCATCCCTGCAGGGAAATTATTCCAGGAGCTCCCAGCCCCACTTCTGGGACAAATTAAATTGGAACGGAAAAATTCTCACACTGAGAGAAGGCTCAAAATAAAGCGTGCAGGTTAAATAAACTGACACAATGTCCCTGCTTTGTACCAGTTGCTCCAGTTACAGAGTTTGCCCTTTCTCTGAAGGAAAACTGGGTTGTTAAAGCCAAGGGAGCCAGAAATTTTGAAGTGAGAAGTTGGAGTGTCCCTTTTCATTTATTTCATATCAGTATAGGAACACAGTCTTTCAGAGCTAACCCTCCCGAGGGAGCTCGCATCACACTAAAACAAAAATAAAATCCCATAAAATCCATTGCAAATCACGGTCTGTACTTAAACATCAACACAGCAGCCGTTGAAACCAATACAGAGCACTGGATATGCTAATCAAAAGCAGATTGAAATAGAACAATTGTTTTATTGGCAATTTGCTAATTATTTTATATGGTTTATGTTGTGATTGTGACGTTCTGTTGTGTTATTGTTATTTATCGTTTGTAAGCCACTTTGTGAACTCGTGTGAGTGGAAAGCAGCACAGAAATATAGTAAAAGAAAATGAAATGGAATGAAACATTAGAATAAAGGTAAAAGGTAAAGGACTCCTGGATGGTTGAGTCCTGCCAAAGGCAACTATGGGGTTGTGGCGCCCATCTCGCTTTCACGCCGAGGGAGCTGGTGTTTGTCCACAGATAGTTTTCTGGGTCATGTGGCCAGCAGGACTAAACCGCTTCTGGCGCAAGGAGACACTGTGACGGAAACCAGAGCGCACAGAAATGCCATTTACCTTCCCGCTGCAGCGGTACCTATTTATCTACTTGCATTGCCATGCCTCCAAACTGCTAGGTGATGTTTTATTGCGTTTTTAATATCCTGTTGGAAGCCGCCCAGAGTGGCTGGGGAGGCCTAGCCAGATGGGTGGGGTATAAGTCATAAATTATTATTAATAATATTGTTTTTATTAGGTTGGCAGGAGCTAAGACAGAGCAACGGGATTAGAATAATGGAGCCGTCAAGCCCACATGGGTTGGCTGTGTGTCACTCCCCTAGATATGCCAGTATATATTTTGCATCCTTAGGGTGTTTCCTGATGGTCTGCATCCTTTCAAAGTATGTTGGTTAGACTGGTCCATTATCCTGCAACAGTTTAGTGCAGTTCCATGTGGATTCCTTGAAAAGGAGACAATGACTGCTCCCCACATTAAATGGGGGGCGCCCTTCGCGTGGTCGCACGCAGCCCCCTGGACCCTATGCAACACCATTAG